TTGTTGTTTATTTTATTTGTTTGTTTTTTCAAATTTATAATCAAATGTATATTTATTTTACTTAAGGTTCTTCAATTATTGGCCTAAATATTTTTCAAAAACACATGTGCTCGTGGTCAGGATATGTATTCTTTGTTTTTAATATAAATATCATTCTGAGTGAAATTTTAATTTTTTTTTTTTTATATTAAAAAGCATAATATAGAAAAAAATCATAAAATACGTCGGTGGACGAGTGGGTAACACCCTCGATTCCCAACAGTCATGAACCGGGATTGAATCCCGCGTTAACATTTTGTCTAATATGTGAATAAGCTTCATATATTATTCATTGTTTCAATTATCATAAACTAGGTTGTTTTTCTTGAGCGGTACCTAATAAAGTGATTTTGAACCCTATAGAAAAAATGTTCCCTAAATGCAACCCTGAAAGAAAATTTGTTTATTAAAAGTATATGGTTTCATGGCTCTCATCAGTACAGGGGCGGCTTCACATTCATAGCATACTACGAGAGGAATTATGGAATCGGTCAAATTTACTACAAATGTGTTTAAGCTGGTAAAGTGGCTAGCAGGCTAGAATGCAACATAAAATTGCGGGAGGAATGCTATAGCCTGAAATCATGTTATACAGATTGTTGGCTTTTGTCTGAATTTGCTAAAACTGGTGTTGTAGCTCAGTCTTTATCATTACTAGTAGTGTTTTATCAATGGGGCGATAAACATAAGGTCATGCCTTTCTTCTTCTTCTTTCTTATCTCCACACTGGGTGAAATAGAATGCGTCTGCCTTTGTCATTAAGACTGGGAGCACTACTCAGTGGCAGGTCGACTTAGCTCCAAAAGAAATGGCCGCCTCTGACATGAGGAACAGACGCCATGTGCAGTCGCTCCTAACATGGAGTACAGACTCATCCTGTATCCCTGGATTAGGAGCCCTTACAGGGTACTATCAGCCGGGCCAGCTGAGTCCAGGTTTTTTATTGAGCTTGATACTGCTCCTCCTTTTTCATCCGGGCTTGGGACCGGCAAAGGCGGAGTTATAAGGCCATGTACTAATGCATAATTAAAAGGAGAGGTGTACCTCTTTTCTTTCGATGAAATAATCCCTTAAATAAATATCAAAATAAGAACATTAAGCATCCAAGGAAAATCTTCTTTTAAATGTATTTTTATTTAGAAATCTCTCAAGCTTTCGGGTAAGAAAGTCCTTCTACGGTAGAAAATATTTTACATCATTAAAACGTAACTATCAGTTGCACGATAAGGAGATGCCTTTTTTCATAATATAAATCAACGTTTAGTTGAATTCTGTTCCACTAGATGGCGCTCTGCCATCTAAAATACGCTCATGTTAGTAGTCAGGATATGCCTAATTTATTTTTAATATTATATATATATATACACAGTAGAACCTATCTGTAAAAGACACCTAATTGCAGAGCCAAAGGAAAAGGTGTCCTCTTACCGGAGAGTTGCTAAATAGTAAAAATGGTAATTTTACAAACGAAAACTGTCCTTTGTGGAGAGGTGTCTGTTAGCAGGGTATCTGCTAAAAGGAGGTTCTACTGTGTGTTGGAATATTACACAGAGTAACAATGGCTATAGATGAGCTCGTGTTTGAAAAGGAACTTGTATGTATATAATGTTTATTGTTTTTGTTGTTTTCATGTAGAACATATACCAAGATTTGTTTTGTATAATTACTATTAATAATAAATAATATGAAATGAGAGAATTTAAAAGCACGAATGCCTCTTTTATACATAATACAAACTTCTATTGCCCTTACTGCGATGAAAAAATATATTGGGAGGGCTTGGCTCATCAGTGGTGAACCCTCCCTGCGGTTTCGCCAATTTAATCCACCAGACCGCTTCTCAGAGCTCTAATTCTGTATTGGACAATTCTGCTTATATACGCAGCACTGAAGGGTGGAATCTCAGAAATGTGGTTTTCAAGAAAACTATGGACACAAGCTTATAGGACAGTAGAATTATAATAAATAACATGTAAAGTTGAATTGGTTACGGATTCATCCTTCTTACTTACTTTAATTACATAACATTGTGTATATTAAATTAAAACATATATTTTACTTTCCATATATTCAGAGATTGTCATATCCTCGATCTTCTTCTGGGAATTTTTACATTGTGAAATTGTTTAGAATAGCTGTCTCTAAACAAGATCAAAGAAGGCGTAGGACCAAAAGAGAAATCCAATTTCACAATATAAAAAATTCCATAAAAAGATTGGCAATCTTCCAATAGAAAAATATCGCGAAAGTAAAATATATTAAAATCCAATATATGCTTTTTTGTTCATTAATTACATATTCTAATTTTGGAAAACCAAATATTTCCCTTCATAATGTTTTTTTTTCGACTAAGTTTGGTAAAATTATTATTGATATAGTAAGTCATATATATAGATTTAGTTTTTCTTTCTTTTTTTCATTAAAACAAATATATATATTAATCAAAATTTATCTTTATAAACGTCTTAATAAACTTGGAAAATTTTACATTTATTGATTAAGGTAATAAATCATTGAAAATGGAATAATTACAGACTGGTTTTATGTTTGGCTGAGTGACTATATATGTTGTTGTTTGTTGCTGTTTATTCCTCAAGTCGTTTAAACGATCTCCATTAGGTTCCATTGTCTCAGCTTTTTTATTATAGTCCTGGGGTTTTCCCAGTGGTCTTTTTTTGTAGGAGATTTGATACAATTCAATAGATGTTCAGGGGGGTCGGTGGAAGGCTGGTTAAACCGTTTGGTTTTCGACCACTACGACCCGGGTTCGATTCCCGCATTGGACACTTTTTTCTGTTTAAAAAAAAAAATGCTCCAATGGCCGCTGATTATTGCAAAAGTCCAACCCCACCAGCGAGTGCAAGTAACCAAACGGGGCTCTGGCACATTTGTAATTGCAAAGTCGAACTGCCTTTCACATGTGTAGACATGTGGTGCGCTTACAGTAAAAGCAGTCGCTAACTACCCACCATGATTATCATGGCCTGTACCACGTGTACTAGGGATAAGCAAAAAAAAAAAAAAAAAAAGATGTTCAGGACTGGCTGTGAATATATATACCTTATTAATATAGTGCAAGGGGATCACTACATATATATATACAAGGTAGGATCAAAAAGTTCCTGAACATTTTTAAAATTAATTATTCATTCATAGTACAGTAATTGAAATATCAAATTTTTCAAAATAGGAGCCTTGGTTATCTACACATTTTTTCCAGCGTGAAAAAAGCTGTTGAAATTCTAGTTCAAAGTAAAATTTTCTAAGCTTGTTTAGTTCCACCGTCGCATTTTCAATTACTTCTGATGACGATGAAAAGCGCCTCCCTTTTAACGTCATTTTAAGTTTGGGAAAGAAGAAGAAATCACATGGGGCGATATCAGGAGAGTAAGGAGGATGCGGCAAGACAGATACAGAGTGTTTGACTAAATAGTCTTGAATATATATATATATACTGTATTTATACTGATTAAAATAGTTCTTGGGGTAAATTGATATTGATTTGATAATATATTTTGCCTATCCCTAATACACGTGGTACAGGCCATGATAATCATGGTGGGTAAAAGTAGGCGACTGCTTTTACTGTAAGTGCACCACATGTCTACACATGTGAAGCAGGTCGACTTTGTACTTACAAATGTGCCAGAGCCCCGTTTAGTTATTTGCACTCGCTGGTAGGGTCGGACTTTTTGCAAGAATCGGGAGCCATTGGGACATTTTTTTTTTTTTTTTATCAGAAAAAAGTGCCCAATGTGGGAATCGAATCCGGGTCGTAGCGGTCGAAAACCAACGGTTTAGACCATCCTTCAACCGAACCAAAAAAATAATAAAATTAAAAACTTTTAGGTGAAATAAAAAAAATGTTAATAAAAAAATGTTTGCTATGTATAAAGATTTTTTTTTTTTAAATTGAAGTCTTATATCAAGGATTAGTAGTGATGGTACCACAGTACTAAGACAACCAACCACAGAAGTAAACCAGAGATTGCAAAGCGGAAAAAGAAGGACTTTGAGCATCCAAGAGACTTTACATAATTGTACATTAAGATGCATTAGCGCGCCATCTGTTATCAAAATTCAAAACTATTATAGACGCGTATGATTCTTTTTGTAAATAAAACAAATTCTACTGCCCTTACTGCAATGGAAAAATTAATGGGAGGGGCCTGGCTCATCAGTGGTGAACCCTACTGAATACTGGCGAAACCGCTGGGAGGGTTCACCACTGATGAGCCAGGCCCTCCTATTAATTTTTCCAGAAATAGTTTATATTCATTCCGATAGATGGCGTAAGCCATAAGAAACGAATAGCTGCACGAATAGGAGATTTTTCTTGAAAGACATCATTTGAGGGATGCTATAAACAAAGAGGCAATGTACAATTATCAAAATTCGAAACTATTATAGACACGTATGATTCTTTTTAAAAATAAAACAAATTCTACTGCAACAAAAATATTTTGTCTTCGTCAGTATAAATAAAAATAAAACATAGGCGTTAAAATTGTTCTATAAAACGCTAACTGACCGAAGTGTTCATTTTTTACAGAAATATGAATGCCGGCCAGGCAACCTCTATCTTCAGGATAAATATCAACTAATCATAGATTTCTAATTATTCCAGAAGTAGCCAAATAACATTTCATCTACCTAGATATATTTGGCCAAGCCAATTTCTTGATTAATCAAGAAAAGATAACAACATACGCGTTTCGGATTGTTGGTTCTTATCAGCATGGTGCAAGCTGTATCTCAACGTGTGTCTGTTTAATTAGTATGTTTTTTTTTTATATTATAATGCGGTTTATCATTGTAGAACGACGTTTGACAATTTTACCGCAAATGTTTCTTTTGAACGAAAAATCGTAATTTCGATTCGAACGTCGTTCTAAAATCATGAGCCGCATTATATTGTATTATAAATTAATTTTATATATTATTTACGAACGGAAAAATATGTACAGAGTAGCCTAGTGGACATGACATCTGCCCGGAAAGCGTAACAATGTGGGATCGTTTCCCATCCCTGGACAGTTTATTTTTCGGTTTATCATTACTCTTCACAATTCATACTCCATCCCTAAGGATATAAATAATCATTATTTCTCCTTAAAATAAATTTGGATTTTTCGTTCAAAAGAAACACATGCGGGATAATTTTCAAATGTCGTTCTACAATGTTTTTATATTTGACAGAGATGCGTGTATGTTAATAAAGAGAGAGTTGTTTAAAATTAAACCTCAACAAGGGTGGACCAAAATAGAATAAACCAACTTGAAACAATGGTAGATGGAGAAAAGGTTATTTAGTTTTAAAAATTTAATTCTCTCCAACAAACAATTAACTCGCGATTTAATTTGAAAAATGTAGGCGCATGCCACCAGCTAGGTATTTAAATTAAATATTCCTGAGGGAGAAGTTCATTAAACAGATCTGTGTGACGTAAGATGATTTTTTTTTACCTTTTTCTTCACGGAGTCAGTTACTTTCAAGTCAAAAGATCTTGGATTCAAATGGCTTGATGAAACTTGATCTCAAGAATGGTATTAAAATGAAAGAAGACATATCCTGACTACAAGTACATGAGATTTTTAGATGGCAGAACACTATCTGTTAGATAATGCTATTTATAACAATTTGTAACTATTATAGACGCGTATGATTCTTTTTTTAAAAATAAACAATTTCTACTGTCCTTACTGCAATGGAAAAATTAATGGGAGGGCCTAGCTCATCAGTGGTGAACCCTCCCAGCGGTCTCGCCAGTTTAATCTACCATACCGCTGTTATATTGCATTTTTAGATTTTACTTTTATAGTGATACTGTTGCTAGACTCTTGGAATGGGTATTTTAGATGAACTATGGATATAAGCTTTGAGGACAGCAGAATTACATGGCACGCTAATGCATCATAACAATTTGTTTTTAAGAAATGTATCAAAACAATTCATTTTTTCATCTCCTCTGTGTTAAATGCATAGATTCTGATGTAAAGCCACATCATCTAACTTAGCAAATTCAAACATAAACCAACCTGTTATGAAAAATCGAAACTTTTTTAGACGCGTATGATTATTTTTGAAATTAAACAATTTCTACTGCCCTTACTGCAATATGGAAAAATTAATGGGAGGGCCTGGCTCATCAGTAGTGAACCCTCTCAGCGGTTTCGCCAGTTTAATCTACCATATATTTATAATTGTATGTAATTCTGCTGTCCTCAAAGCTTATGTCCATAGTTCATCTAAAATACCCATTCCAAGAGTCTAGCATCAGGATCACTATAAAAGGAAGATCGAAAAATGCAATATAACAGCGGTATTAAAACGAAAATCACGAAATTTCTCTTTAATGGCTTATAAAATGCTAAAAATGAAGAGAAAAAGTTTTCTTTATTAAAATATATATGTTACAAGCTTTCGGGCACCAAGCCCTTCTACAGGTACAACGTATTGTGAGAAACTATATATATCGATATACTATATATATATATCGATTCTATATATAGCTTTAGTTTCTCACAATACGTTGTACCTGTAGAAGGGCTTGGTGCCCGAAAGCTTGTAACATATATTTTAATAAAGAAAACTTTTTCTCTTCATTTTTAGCATTTTATAACAGCGGTATGGTAGATTAAACTGGCGAAACCGCTGGGAGGATTCACCACTGATGAGCCAGGCCCTCCCATTAATTTTTACATTGCAATAAGGGCAGTAGAAATTGTTTAATTTCAAAAAGAATCTTACGCGTCTAAAATAGTTTCGAATTTTCATAAACCAGTCTGTATATAATGGAAATTGCTTTGATGCATTCAATGAATGGATAAATTACACTCATCGTATTTATGTAAAATATATTATACCCTAGTTCCAGTTCCAAAATAACTTTATTAGGTACCGCTCAAAAAGATCAACCTAGATCATCATATTTACAATGGGGGAACTCCATCCTTGCCGGTCCCAAGTCCGGATGAAAAAGGAGGAGGGGGAGCAGTAACAAGCTCACTAAAAAACCTGGGCTCAGCTGGCCCGGCTGATAGTACCCTGTAAGGGCTCCTAATCCAGGGATACAGGATGAGCTTGTACTCCATGTTAGGAGCGGCTGCACATGGCGTCTGTTCCTCATGTCAGAGACGGCCATTTCTTTTGGAGCTAAGTCGGCCTGCCACTGAGTAGTGCTCCCAGTCTTAATGACAAAGGCAGGTGCATTCTACTTCACCCAGTGTGGAGATAAGAAAGAAGAAGAAGACAATGGGGGTTGTGGTTCTATACAAGAGGGTTCATTTACAATTATATTTTATATTGGTGTCTTTGGGTCCTCAGGTCCTTGGGGATTTTGTTCTTGAGAAGGTTTTATTCTGGCTTGTTTTATATTCAAGGTGAGTTTATTTTTCCACTTTTCTCCTTCTGGCTTAGTTGATGTAGAATTTGTTTCGGTTTTAAATTTCTTTTTTTCCTTGTTCGTCATGTGTAGTTTGTGGCTTCCTTAAGAATGGGGTTTAAAATTTTTCATATTTTTCGTAGAACTTAAATGATTGTCTAATAATGTATTCGTTGATATTTTCAACATTGAGATCGTTCCTGAGGATTGTGTTCCGAACGAACCAATGTGAGGATATAATACGCTACTTCTTGTTCCAAAATAACTTTATTAGGTACCGTTCAAAAATAGCAACCTAACTTATGTTATTTAAAATAAAAAGTATGAACAGGTTCTTCACAATAACAGTGTCCAATGCGGGATTCGATCCCGGTTCAAGGCTGTCGAGGGTTTATACCGCCGGCCACCGACTTCTATTCTATAAGGTTGTCCCAAAAGTTTGTACTTTTCTTCAAACGTTGTTTTTCTTATTACTTGGCGAATGATATTATTACGGCGAATACGTAATACAATTACTTTATACATAATACATTATTAGAAATAAAAAATGCATATCCTGACCAGGAGCACATGTGCTTTTCAGAAGGCAGAGCGCCATCTGGTGGAACAGAAATCAACTAAACGTGACTCCACCCTGTCGAGCGCCAACAGCGCGAAACGTGTTCGTGGATGGCTTTTCTTGATTAATCAAGAAATTGGGTTGGCCAAATATCAGGGAACAGGCTAAATCAATGTTTAGTTGATTTCTGTTCCACCAGATGGCACTCTGCCTTCTGAAAAGCACATGTGCTCCTGGTCAGGATATGCTTTTTTATTTTTAATATCAACACCTTTCTATTGTTTTATCATAATATATTGTATATAACGGCTAATAATATTGCTATTTCAATTATTTTGCAAGTGTTTACGAACTTTTAGGACAACCTTCTATAATACGCTAACTTCGGTTCCAAAATAACTTTATTAGGTACCGGTCAAAAAGAACAACCTAGTTTATGTTATTTACAGCAACAAAAAAACAAGTGTCCAATACGGGATTCAATCCAGGTTGATGGCTGTCGGGAATCGAGGGTTTTAAACCACTCATCCACCGACTATAAAACGCTAATTAATTATTTATAAAAGCCCACACAATAATTCAGTACATTTAAATGGAACTTGCCATTTTTCTACAGAATTAGGCAACGTTCTCGTCTGTTAATTATTAAAAGGATTTCAAATTGAATTTCAACTAATTGACATACCAACGATCCAATTCCCTGGAGGTTCTGTGTGTGGCCGGATTTCATTAACAAGTTCGAAATAACCTGGGAAATCAAATCCTAATTTTAATCGTTAGGGAATTAATACGTTTTACCTCTAATTGGAGTTTGATAGAAATACCTGGGTTATTTATTTATGATGCATTAGCGCGCCATCTGTTATGAAAATTCGAAACTATTATAGACGCGTATAATTCTTTTGAAAATTAAACAATTTCTACTGTCCTTACTGCAATGGAAATACCATTAATTTTTCCATTGAAGTAAGAGCATTAGAATATTTTTAGTTTTTAAAAGAATCATACGTGTCTATAATAGTTTCGAATTTATTTATTTATTACAAAACACACGCTATATCCTATGCACACACACATACAAAAGCCTTTATTAGGGACTTGCCCCATACAGATTCTCCCAATTGGGTAAGGTAATATGTTATTATGTACATTAATGTAAATTAATATGTACATAGGTAGTGAAATAGAAATTGTACTGTCTTTACTTTTCATCTCAAAGTCATTCACTTGTTGACTGGTCCTTACATAATGATGATCTAAAAAAATTATAGTAAGCTATTGCCTTAGATTTGTTTGCTGATATTTTTGAAAGCAATACGTAGGGTGAAGTGTTGGTACATTTAATTTGTTGATATAGGGCCTTCCTCTCTGCATCAAGGGCTGTACAATTAAGCAGGTAATGGGGGAGTTTTTCAGCAATTTCCTTGTCACACAGTGTACACATTAAGTTTTTGGCCTCAAAGGTTAGAACGTGTTTTTTTTTTAAGACTGTAAATAGTATTCCCGATTGAGCTATACATCGTTTGACTGGTAAAGGGAAATCATCGGTTAGGTAACGTTCTATTTCTATTGACGTATGGAAAATTTTCTATATCCTATATGGATATTTGCGTGTAAATGTTTAAAATATTTTACGTACATAGTTTTAAAATATATATACAAATTGGGTGGTGGTGTCTTGTCCATATGGAAAGAAGGGGTACCATTGCCCCGTTAGTCAGCCACATTTCAAAGTTCCCTGTTCACGGTTACCGTAGCGGCTCACGGCACCGTACTACAGGGCAGTCCCTTACTTGTGCTGCTTCTCCCGCCCGCCACGTAGAGGAGGACTTCTGGGCAGGGTTATGTGTAGTGGTGTCTTGTCCACTCCATGGAAAGGAAGGTGCCATTGCCCCGTTAGTCAGCCCCATTTCAGAGTTCCCTGTTTAGAAAGACTAATGATTATTTAAATTTATACTTCAAATCAATAATTATACAAGAAAAAGAGTTTATTTACATACTATAAAAATGTTTAATATATTGTTAGAATCAACCAATAAATTAATGGTATAAATATAGATATTTTTAAAATCGAAAAACTATACTAATTAAA